GAGAAGATGTCTTCAACAAAGTATGAGATTGAAAAGTTCACCAGAGTGAATGACTTTGGTCTGTGGCGCTTGAAGATGAAAGCCCTACTGGTTCATCAGGGTTGTTTGGAAGCGTTGAAGGGAGAGGCAGCCACAGACGATGCGTTAATGGCAAAAGAAAAGACGACTATGATTGAGAAAGCCCACAATGCAATATTGTTGAGCTTTGGTGATAAGGTTCTTCGATAGGTATTAAAGGAGACTACAACATCGGGGTTATAGGTAAAACATGAAAGTTTATACATGACCAAATCTCTGGTGAATCGACTCTACCTGAAGCAAACTTTGTATTCATTCAAGATGAGTGAAGACAAAGTGCTGGCTGAGCAATTAAATATGTTCAACAAGCTGATTCTTAATCTTGAAAATATTAATGTGAAGATCGATGATGAAGATCAATCACTGTTATTGTTGTGTGCTTTGCCCAGAACACATCCTCACTTCAAAGAAACTCTTTTGTATGGAAGGGAGTCCCTGAGATTTGAAGAAGTTCAATCAACCTTGTATTCTAAGGACTTGAACGAACGAAAGGAGCATAAACCTTCGACGATGGGCAAAGGTTTGGCCGCTAAGGGAAAATTCTTGCGAAAGGATGGTAAGTTTGACAAGAAGAAAGGTAAAAGTCAACAGAAGTCTTATAGTGGCAAAATATCTGGTATTCGATGTTATCACTGTAAGAAGGAGGGTCACACAAGAAAGGTGTGCCCTGAACACCTGAAAGATCATGGAGGTAAAGATAATGGAAATGCAACCATTGTTCAAGATGGCTTCAACTCATCTGATGTTCTTGTGGTTTCAAGTGGCGACTCAAGAAAATAGTGGATTATGAATTCAGGTTGCACTTGGCACATGACTCCAAACAGAGAATTGTTCGAGGAGCTATATGATCAAGATGGTGGATCAACGTTGCTGGAAAACAACAAATCTTGCAAAATTGCAGGTATTAGATCTGTGAGATTCAAGCTCCATGATGAGTCAATAAGTTTATTGACTAAAGTCAGGTATTTGCCTAATATGAGCATAGGTCACGCAGCCAAATACTCTCAGTATGTCGAGACTAGGTGGATGTCCCGACTAAACTTCTTCAGGTGTCTTCATTCCTAAGGCAGTTGAGGGACATCTATTTATCAAATAGGTTGCTATCGTAACAACCTCCGCCGAAAACACCTTCTTCAATCCAGCAGTAACCAACATGCATATAACCCTTTCAAGGATTGTTAGATTGAATCTCTCAGCTAAGCCATTTTATTGAGGAGTACCTGCTACATTCTTATGCCTTGCAATCCTAGACTCAACATAGTAACTGTCGAACGCTTTGTTGTAGAACTCAAGGCCATTGTCGGTTCTCAACCTCTTAACCTTTCTGTCAGTTTGAGTTTCGACCAGAACCTTCCAACTTTTGAAATTCTCAAAAGTTTCCTCATTCGTCTTCTGGATGAATACCATAACTTTATGGAATATTCATCAACGATGGGTAGAAAATACCTTGCACCTGAGTATGAAGGATTCCTTGCAAGCCTCCAAAGATCAACATGAATGTAATCTAGGGATCCATGTGTTCTTTGCTTGCCTTTGTTAAACTTCGCTCTACAAGATTTACCAAATACACAAGATTCACAAAACTCTAAATTTTCGACTTTGTCACCTCCTAGCAGGTTCTACTTCCCCAATTCGACCAAGCCTCTTTCACTGACATGGCCCAATCTCATGTGCCATAATTCTGTCTTCAACACAGGTTTCATGGATGCAACATTTGTCGAACCACTTACAACTTCAGCCTCAAGGGTACACAAGCCTTGTTTCTTCACGCCTCTCAATACTTCCTTCGAGCCCTTCATGACTCTTAGGATACTTTTCTCTCCTTGAAAAACATATCCCTTCCTGTCGAATTCACCAAGAGAACATACCTGACTTCAGTCAATAACCTTATGGACTCATCATGGAACTTGAATCTCACAGATTCAATACCTGTAATTTTGCAAGATTTGTTGTTTCCCAGCAGCACAGATCCACCACCTTTATCACATAGCCCCTCGAACAATTCTTTGTTTGGAGTCATGTGCCAAATGCAACTTGAATCCATAATTCACTCTTTTCTCGAGTCGCCACTTGAAACCACAAGAACATCAGATGAGTCAAAGTCATCTTGAACAATGGATGTGTTGTCATTACCTCCATGATCTTTCAGGCGTTCAGGGCACACCTTTCTTGTGTGACCCTCCTTCTTACAATCATAACGTCGAATACCAGATGTTTCGCCACTATAAGATTTCTGTTGACTTTTACCTTTCTTCTTGTCAAACTTACCATCCTTTCGTATGAATTTTCCCTTAACGGTCAAACGTTTTCCCACCGTTGAAGGTTTATGCTCCTTTCGTTCGTTCAAGTCCTTAAAATATGGCTGATTGAACTTCTTCAAAGGTCAGAGGACTCCCTTCCATACAAGAGAGTTTCTTTGAAGTGAGCATGTGTTCTGGGCAAAGCACACAACAACGACAATGTTTGATCTTCACCATCGATATTCACATCAATATTTTCAAGATGAAGAATCAGCTTGTTGAACATATCCAACTGCTCAGCCAATACTTTGTCTTTATTCATCTTGAATGAGTATAAAACTTGCTTCAGGTAGAGTCGATTCACCAGAGATTTGGTCATGTACAAACTTTCAAGTTTCACCCATAATCCCGATGTTGTAGTCTCCTTTGATACTTGTCGAACAACCTTATAACCAAGGCTCAACAATATTGCCTTGTGGGCTTTCTCAATCATGGCCGTCTTTTCTTTTGCCATTAACGCAACGTCCGTGGCTGCCTCACCCTTCAACGCTTCCAAACAACTCTGCTGAACCAGTAGGGCTTTCATCTTTAAGCGCCACAGGCCAAAGTCGTTCACTCCGGCAAACTTTTTGATCTCATACTTTGTTGAAGGCATCTTCTCCATGCTCACCGCACCAATTTGTTGTGAATCAGATGTCTTAAAACAAAGTATAAACAATTTCTTTATGATCAAGAAACACACAAGGGTTATGGTTAACAAAGAAACAAAGGTAAAACAACAAGGAACAACAAAGATTGGTTATAAACTGCTATTCTTTTCTTTTTCTTAGAACAAGATTACAAGTATACATGAATAACAATATAACCTCTCTCTCTTGAAATTAGGATTTTATCTTCCTATTTTTCTTTATATCAAGATTGAGAAACTAGCATCCTATTTATAATAAATAAAAAAATAGCACACTAATCTAATGGATTTTTTAACAATTACTCATTACAAGCTAACTTAGGGTACAAGCTAACTTAGACACTTGGGCTTACAAGCAAGACTCAATCCAATATCCTAACAACCTAGCAATATTGACTAATGCATGTTAAAACAAACTTCGACTACAACACGCATTATTTTCGACAGCAGCATGCAAACAGACTTCAATCTCATGTTTAATTCCTGTCGAACCAGAAACTACCTTTCGACCATACTAGAGTTCGATCCAACATCTCATATTTATAAATGAAAACTGCAAGATAACTAAAGGAAAAATTTGCTTGATTTATTATGACTAATGGATAAACAAGATTTAACATGATTAATAAACTAGCCTGAGATTCTACCATATTTTATGAGCAAGTCATTGAAATTTCTTACACCATTGAAGTAACCTTGCAAAAGATCATGACATGATGTGCATATAACATATATGAATGGACTTGGCTACTTCTATTGCTATTAATTAATTAGGGTTATCTTTAATTAGGGTCATTTTTTAATCTTTGATCAATTTATGATGTGCAAAATTGTATTTACTGAACACATCTTGAATAAGACAAAATAAGACACGAGATAATCTATCACCTTACATTCCTTTTGCAAGGGAAAAAATGTGTATTCTTTCCATTAACATAATAAAGATCCTAGAAGAAGATTGAAGAATAAAGATCCTAGAAGAAGATTGAATTCAAATCTTTAAACAACTTTAAGAATAAATTTCCAATCACTAGTATCAAATTTCTAATCAAAAGAAATATTTGAGTGTCATATTTCCTCCAAATATTGTGTGTTGCACAGAAACCAGGGTCTGTTCAGTGTAGGTGTCGTCTGTACTATAGTATTGGTCTCAAATCTTAGATCACCTGTTTTTTTTTTAATTTTAAAAAAATAGATTTTACATCTACTTTTTCAATAAAATGTGTAAATTATAATTTATTTTCAAAATCTGTATCTTAAAAAATGTGTAAAATCATAATTTATTTTTAAAATTTATGTATTTTTATTAATTTTATAAAAAAAACTTGATATAAAATAATATTTTTAAGTCTATTTTTTAAAATTATAACAGAACCCTAGAATTGATTAAACCGGCCCTACACAAAACATTAATAACCTCATAGGTGCAAATGCAATTAGATATTTGTCTATCATGAATGAAATCCTTTTGTTTAGTAAAAATGATAGAGATATAGTAGCCAATATGTCAACAATAATTTTTAATGATAATTTTAAACTTTGAAATTAGCATGAGCTATAAGTTTGGTGGTCAACAAGATGGGTCTTGGACCATTTTAGAATGAGCACCGCATTGTTAAATTTTTAATTAAGATGGATCCAACCATTAATAAAGAAAGAAACCACAACTTTAATCACATCATCTTTAATAATATTCCAATAAATTTGAAATTTTTGAGCTCCAAAACCATCATAATCGAGAACACTATCACTATAAAGCAAGACCCAAATGAAATTACATGAATTTCATCTCATCTATATCGTAAAAATACTAAAAGAATAAGAATTCACATTAACTTAATGATTCCTAATCTAACCATCTTAAATTCTTACTACTAATATTTACATTCTAATCCGTTCAAAACTTCAAATCACATACTTACATTACTAAACCATAACAAAAGAATAACAAAATAAATAAGCCCCCATCACATAACAAAACAAAATGAGTGAGCCTAATCCTTCATTGGACGTTTTCCTCTTGGATCTAACTCAGCAGTAGCAGAACTTGTACCAGTGCCAGTTCTAGAAAGAGTGGTACCATTCTTACTCGAATCCGAAGACTGAGAATAAGAAACACCGCCAGAGGTACTACCAATTGTGGAAGACAAACCAGAGTTTCTAGGAGGTCTTCTATATCTACTACCTGGTATACCTGGTCTCGTCGGTTCTTCCATGTGGCCATGTGGTGATTTCCTCGAAAGCATCACCACGACGCGTCTCATTGTTGGTCGAAGTTGCGGATCTCCTTGGATGCATAGAAGAGCAAGTTGAATACACATAGCTACTTGTTCTGTTTTAGCCGTAGATACTAAGGTAGTATCTACAATTTCTAAGCACTTCCCTTTCTTGTACATCTTGTATGCCTGTAAATAACGAGAAATGATTGATATTACATATAAGTCGTTTGATTTTTAATGATATGTAGGATCATCTTTGAGAGCATACAAGGAGATCCATAGGAGACGCCAGATCCATAGGATCTCTGAAAATTTAAGACGGCTCTGATAAAATGCACGACGTAAAAAATATAAGAATCATACCCAATCGAAAAGGTTATGCTCCTCAACATCCAAGTTAAAGGAAGAGTTTCTTTGGCCAGTGATCAACTCTAATACCAAAACTCCATAGCTAAACACGTCGGCCTTAACGGAAAGTCTTCCGTGCATCATATATTCTGGCGCCATATATCCACTGCATGATTCTAAAATATTTTTAGTTTTAAATATCAGAATTAGGACTCTACTAATACATATGATAATATTACTGAAAAATGTATAGATTACATACTTTGTTCCGGCCACACGTGTATTGACTTGGCTTTGATCTTCAGGGAAGAGACGCGCCATACCGAAATCTGCAATCTTGGGCGTCCATTTGTCAGCAAGCAATACGTTACTGGCCTTGATATCGCGATGGATTATGCACTGGTGCGCATCTTCGTGTAGATAGAGTAACCCCTTTGCCACGCCAGTGATTATTCCAAACCTACGATTCCAATCAAGCTGCTCTCTCTTATCAGGTTCTGCATTCATCAAAATAATTTATACTTGTTATGAAGCACGGAGAGATACATCAGTGCAATATACCAATAGTGACACGTCAACACGAATAATAATTTTAAAAAATAAATAAAATAAACGTAATCATATGCGCAAGTGTTGTGTTGACTTGTTGCAACAGAAGATGTCATACAATTCTGTAGTATGATGGATTGGATGAGATCATATGTTTGATTGCCAATTTATTTGAATCAGCAATTTGAATGAATATAGTATGTGGTAAAGTCAAGGTCAAAAGTGCAGTCACTTTCATAGTTATAACTTACTATAGTACAAGTCTTAGAATTCCACCGTCAGTACAACAAAACATTTTTTTATGTTTTGAAGAAAAGTAATGGAAAGTGGTTGGTTGGTCTGGTTGGCTGGAGGTCCACCATGTTGGTAGAATTTCAGATCATCATAAAGTTATTAGTGAAAAACTCATAATTCTGAAATAAAATGTAGCTGCTTCAAATAGCATCCAGAGAGTAAGATGTAAAAAATGAAAATAAAAAATCCAAAACATACCTTGGTACTTGTACCAGGTATATGTATGACTTTTTCTTTAAGTAATTATGTAATGTAATGTCCATGTTTATGAATGATTTTTATTAGGAAAAGTTTGAGGGAATTTTGGAAAATTTCGTCAAATTATCGAAACAATCTTTGCTTTTAAATAATCTAAATATTAAAAATAAACTAATCATAATTATTTTATATGTTACATGTGTTACTAGTTATATAAAGATTTAAAATGTTTACAAATGTGACAAAATCTACTAATATGATAAAATTGAAATGTTCGGAATACTTATGTCGCCGAGTCTATAGCATTGACGACATCAAAATCATTGATTGAATATACACTGAATCAAAATTAATCTGTCAATTTGAACGGAACAAATACCGCACTAAAATAGAAAATAAAATAATATTACAGTAAGACGACGACCAACACAACATCGCACTAAGACGGTGAAATTCCGAAGAAAAAAAAACTAAAAATATATTTAAAATCACTTATTCAATTTACATTTTATTTGCTAGCTTAACTTTTAAGTTATGTAAAATTAGGTTAATTAACTAGGAGATTAAAAAAGGATTTCGTAGCTAAAAGAGTTTCTGATTCTTTCCAAGCAAAGGTACTAACGGAAATATCACATTAATTGCCCAGCTGGATGATATCAAAGTTAGGTGGAAGACTCATTCACACACCCTCCATTTCATGGACAAAATCACACACTTCAAATAATCATCTTAATCTATTCAGGTTATTAAATTTGAATTAATATATCATCATCTTAGAAATAATTATCATCAATTCCATGCTTAAAAATACTATATTTTTTTAAGGGTGAAAGTGAAACATTAAAAAAAAAGTGCTTAAAAATAAAAGCACTTACTGAATAGAAACTTGTCAAGGCTCTCATGAGGAAGATACTCATAAACAAGTAGCTTCTCTGTGCCATGAACACAATAACCCAACAAATCCACCACATTCCTATGCTGCACACGAGCTAACAACTTTGCCTCATTCATGAACTCCTTCTTCCCTTGATTCGAAGTCTGTGATAATTTCTTCACCGCAATTTCTCTACCATCACTCAATTTCCCCTATAATCACGATAAAACCAACTATTAATATCTAATAAGTGCTTTCAAAGCAACAATAGAAGAGAAGCATTAAAAATTCACCTTGTAGACAGGTCCAAAACCTCCTTCACCTAACTTAGAATTAAAATTCTTGGTGGCAGAAACAAGTGTTTCATATGAAAATATCTTCTGTTCTCGTGAAGCCATTTTTTGTATCTCAGCTTCATTATTTTGTTCTGATTAAATTCGACACAAAAAAAAAGAAGTAATTAAGAACAAAACATACTTTTATTTTATTTTATCAGACAATTCAATTGATCAAGCCTAAAAACTGAGGGTTGTGGATTATAAGTACCTGTAGTGGAACCTAATTTGAAGTGTTTGAGAAAACTGTGAAGAAAGGTATGGGACTTGTCCATACGGCGGTGGTGGCTGCTGCTCATCTATGGATTGGTTACCAATTCCAACAACAGCCCATGAAATAGGAACAGACACAGAAGGGTTGGTAATTTTGTTGTTGAAGGAAAGGTTTGTTATGTGTTTTTTTTATGTTAATTTTATGAGGAAGTGAGATTTGAGAAGAAGAAAAAGGTGAATAATGTATGGCGTATGTTGTTTAGTTTGAGAGAGAGAGAGAGAGAGAGAGAGAGAGAGAGAGAGAGAGAGAGAGAGAGAGAGAGAGAGAAAGAGAAAAGAAAGAAACATAGATCTCTGCTAAAAAACAAGAACAGAAACGTGTTTGTGTTGACCCACTGACGCTTGCTTGACTAGGATCATGATTCATGACTTACATCATTAAGAAGCATCTCAACAATAACACAAGTACTGTATATCTTTTTCTTGAACTACAAGGTTTTTCGGTCAGATTTTTTTTTTTTTAAATGTTAGAAGTAGTATAATATTCCTTTATGTATTTTAAAATTCACTAATACTAGAAGAAAACTAAGAGTAGAAAATAAATCAAGAGAATTTTCAAGAACTTTTAAACAAAGAGCTCAAATGGATAAGAATTTTAGATTAAAATTTTTAAAGTTTGAATTTAATATAGAGTAACTACGATTTTAGTTACATGTTAATTACAAATTTTTATTGGTTCAAGTATCATGTGTGAATTAACTATGTGATATACTATATCGGTAACTATGTGATATACTATATCGGTATCTTTGTCATGCTAGCATTGTTATGTGTATCTAGTCACGAAAAAAATTTTACATGGCTTGTTACGATAATTTTTATTAACGAATATTTATATGAATGACAAAAAGTGTATACGGAAAATATTAAGAGAATCGTTATTTAAAAAAAATTAGGGCCTAAAATTGAATTATGGTATATTTTAGGGGACCAAAAATGTATTTAATCCAAATTTTAAATGATGATTTTAATGAAAAATAATTTTGATGCAAATGCTAGAATTAAGTGATGATACATGAATGAATGAATGAATAATGCGAATGTAAGTACTATGATAGATCGAAATAAAATTAGAATGATGCATAAGATAATTGAATTATCAAAACATAAAATGAACAAATATAGAAAATACAGACACTTCAAACAAATAATACATCTAGGCAAAAAAATTACAAACATGTGTGCAACAAATAAAATAAAGAAAGGTTGAAATGATCATACCAATTTAGACGATCTAGACTTAACTTGTTGCGCACGAGAACGATTAGTAATCAACAACAAGAATAAACTAAAATACGATCAATCATAAACACATTGGATACAACTCCTCTAGCATGCCAAAAAATCACTATCAGACTTTCCTTCATAAGAATTTAGATGAACTTGTACAACGAATGTTCTGATTATCTTTGATTGACATATCTTAACAATCTCGAATAATTGATGCAACTCCTTGGAGATTGTTATCACTTTAAGGAACACCTTGTAATCCTTGAGTCTTTTGTAATTATTGAGAACTCATAGAACATTGTCAATAGTCACAAACTGTCTTCACTTTCTTTTTACGAAAACCTTGAAAGAATAGGTCACTAGTATATGTTTTTTGCTTCTTTCTTTAATCTCTCAAAAACTTCAAGCATGTTGACATATGAATGCATGTTCATCTTAAAGTAGCATTAATTAAAAACAAACTTTAAGACATAGTGTCAGGTTTTTATTTCACTACACATACCTCAAACTTTTGTCACTTTAATCCTGGTTGAATCAAAACTTAGAGAATATCTTAAATACAATTGATGATGATTGAAGAATACACTAGTTAGATTTTATTTTAAGTTAATCTACGCAATGCATGCAATGAATTATCATACATTATGAAATCAATGTAATGTTATTGGAATTCATTGAATTGCATAAGCTTTCAAATGAATAAAAAAACTCGTCTAAGATTGAAAAGGAACCATATCCTCAACTTTTGGAGTCACAAGACTTTAACTAAAAGCTCCACTCTGATATCAATTGTTTGGTGAGAATGTGGACACAAACATCTCTAGAAGAGGGGTTGAATAGACTTATCCCTAAAAAGACAATTTCAAAAACATTTTAGTTCCCATAAAATGAAATCGGAGATTTTAAAATATGTAGAAGTAAAACACATCACTAAGAGAGCTTGGAAGCCTCTCAATGAATTAATCCAAGAAAATCATTATAAGATATCACTAGAACCATGAAACTTTCTAATGCAAATCAATTACAAGATTAAAAAAAAAATCAGTTTAAACAAAGTGATTTAAAACACTTTACGTAGAAAATCATTCAAGACATAATTGAATTTATGATGATCCAATAGGTTTGATGCATCACATACCTAAGCTTACATATTAAATCGTTATGAGTAATATATAATCTAAATAATATACAAATGATGCAATTATGCAATAATGCAATATCTATAGTAATGAATACAAAAAATAAAAGAAGATAAGGGAAGAAAGAAAAGATAACAGAGATATATAGTGGTTCGGAATTCGTCATCGCTTTTCCAACTTCACTCTTCAGTGGTGTTAAAAACATCGGGAAATAATTATAATCTTCCACTATTTAATAAGTTTGGCACCAATACTTTGATTACAACGAAATATCACAGTAATTTCCTCTATTGGTAGAGATATCCAAGCTGCTAACAAACACATGATCCTCATTGATCTTGATCCAATAACCTTGTTATCCACAAGAACTTGCTCCAAGTATTTGTATATGGTCTTACATCATGATCCCACTGAATTGTCTAAGATATTGCCATTAGCTAAGTGCTTAATTGGGTAACTCCAAATTTGTCTACGAACAGTCTTTACACAACTTCACCAAATTTGGACAACTCATAACTTCGTCTTACAAATAGTTTTTACTTGACCTCGCAAAATTCTTTAATGGAGTATAGTGAAACTCTTCTCTTGATAAATAACATAGAGTCCAAACCTCATTCAAGAAACGATCTCTCCACCTGTTTCAAACAGAAAACTTCACACAAAAACATTAGATATCCTAATATACCACTAGTCTCCCTCAAATAATCAATCTTTAGAGATGAAGGACCATAACAATGGATAATGACTAAGGTTGAAGATGATGAATAGTTCTAAAGAATCTCTCTCTCTCTCTCTCTCTCTCTCTCTCTCTCTCTCTCTCTCTCACACACACACACACACACACACACACTTAAAATCACAAGATATCAACAAGGAATTAAATGTTTGTGAATGAAGAACACACACAAAGGTTCTCTCAAGTTTCTGGATAAAATGGGTCTTGGATATTGATGGTTATCATGAGCTTGATCAAAGATGAATCATTATAAGATTGTTTAAATCACTTTCTCTGGATTCACTCAACAATAAACTACATACACAAGATGTAATAAAAATGAGTTGCAAACTGACATGGATTAACACTCAAGAATTTGTTCATGAAAATATGAGAAAGATGCAAAGATGCTAGGAATTAACACACTAAATAAGAAAAGACAAATTGACATTTTGTCTAAAGGTTTCATCTAAACTTTCAACATGAAAAAGTTCATAATGAATGACTCTCATTTCTTCTTGTTTGGATCAAAGAAGCAACTATTTAAATTTAAGGTGGAAATTAGGAATTTGAACAAATGATTCGAATCAACTAGAAGTCATGATTCAAGTCATGACGTGTTGTGATTCGAGTCTAGTTTAACTCATAATTCGAATAAAACTAGGCAGAGCCTAATTCTAGCAATAATGGAGAGTGTTCAAGCTGTAGTATAACGGCAAGAAGAAAAAGATTTGGAAGAATTCCCTCAGAGTTTTTATCGTGACCACAGGGATCGGTGTGAGGGAAAGAATTTCGTTCGACAATCTCTACGTTTCTAAGCTTGGTTTAAATGGTTTGAAAGTAAAATGCAAAAAGAAAAACATATGAACATGTAATTAAAGTACGGGAAATAAGTCATCAGGAATTGCATTTCATTTTATCCATCAAGTACTAAACAAATCTATCAATCAACTATACGCCACCTAAATCACTCATCAATATCATCACGTACAACTTATAACAAAGGTATGTCTAACGCAAAGTCGAGAGAACAGTTGTATCGTCTCATTGATGATGTCTCACGCAACTCAACAACATAGAGCATTAAGAACCTATACACACACGAATGTTAGACCTAAATCTAGCAGATGCTCATCTTAGATCGAGTTCGAACCGTATATGTCTATAGCAATCAAAACTCATTAAGATAAACAATGAAATCAAAGATTAACATCGATAAAGATTTGTAAAAGAGATTTTATACAAATATCAACAAATGTACATACAATCAAAGTAAACATACATACAACACCCCCAACAAATAGAAATTACATAGAGAAGAAGAAAGAAGAACAAACATTACTCGGTTCGTCAACACCGATTGAAACAGATTCGACTTCGGATCGTCAAGATGCACAATCTAATGTTGTTTATGAGATTATTTCCACAAAGAATGTTTGTGATGGAGTTGGGAGCGAAAAATCCTCAAAACCGTACCCTAAAAATCTCAATGAAATATATTTATACAACTCTCAAAATCGCATGCGCGCTAAGCGCCCCCAAATTGTGCTAAGCGCGATCCCACTTAAAGTACTATCAAACCGACATAAAACACGCTAAGCGTGGCCTGATCCCGCTAAGCGCGATCAGTAAATCAAAAACACTGCCTCTTCCATCCAGTTCGCTCAGCGCGCTTAAAGTCGCGTTAAGCGCGAATGACAAGATTTTGTTGGTCAAAACTGCATTTTAAAGCATCCCTCTTGGCTCAAATGGGTTCATACTTCAACCATGCATTATTACCTACGACAACAAATGAAAAATTATCAAAATTCAATGAAATGTACACGAAAATGCAAAATATACAACAATATGTGAATTATACAAAAAGTACAAAAAAAAAACAAGGGATTATTAACTGAAAACAAATGAATAAAATCATTGAGTGCTAATTATTCACACTCAA